AACATAAAATCAAGGCATGAGTATGGTTTTTGTAATTTTCTTGCCTTTCCAAGGCAGAGGAAATTCCAATAGAGATCATGTGGACAAATCTTGTACCCTCTCAAAAAAAACCCACACAGACTTCAGGTAAAGTACAACATAAAATCAGTATACGCAACTATAAAGATACTATAAAGATTTGGCAGATATGGAATATATCCATGTGTGCATTTGAGTGCATGGCTCTCAAATGCAAAATGCAAAGACAACTGTAGCATTCAAACATAGAATCTTATTCCTTAGGAAAATATGACAGAAATTGTAAGCAAACTTTTAATCACATTAATTTAAATTTGACAGGACCTCAGACAGGGAGGTCAATTCTCCCGCTTTGGAGGGAGATCCCCTACCTCTCACTAGTGCTGCCCACCACTGGCCAGCTCGGCAGTGAGGAAAAAATGGCTAGGAAATTGGGGGGGGGGGATCAGCATTACCCCACAATATGGTGTCACTTTCAGCACAACCCAGATATGACACGTGGGACAACATTCACCCAAAACTCTGTTTAAACCGTAGAGTTTTGGGGAAATGCTAGAGCATCCTCAGCAACACAATGGTTGTCACTTCCAGATTAAAAAACTGATAAGTGAGGTTATTAATCCCTTTGTTACCAGTTACTTTTGCTCTTTTGCATTTTAAAAGCACTATTTTCTCTTCTTGAGCCAAAAACATAATACAGTTTTAGGTTACTACAGCACTGCTTTTATTTCTAAGGATGCAGCCTAGTTTATGACTGTGCTTATTACATAACAGAATGTCAGGGCAAGTAGTACACTACAAACTCACCGCAAGGTAAAATTTACATTGACTTCAAAAGCCTTGCCTACAGGAAAAGGAATCAGAGGAATTTCTGAAGAGTTCTACCGTTTTGTAATATGTGTATGATACCAAAACAGTAATATTTTTGGCAACACGTCATTTTGCTGGGTACAAAGAAACTTAAATGTAAGTCTTTGTATAGCAAAAATATTAGAAGTATATCCTGGGAATGGTCTGAACTCCCTAAATATGTGATCTTGGCCAAATAACTTGACTCAGAATATTTACTCATAAGACAAGCTACAGTTTATTAAATAAAGGAACAGATAAAATATTACAAATATTAAAATACGTACTGTACTCACACAAAAGTGGCCCATGTATAAGAGTAGATGACCTAAAATTTTAAATGTGGTGTATTTTACATAAATTACATACACTATCTGTCAGACATAATAACCCCCATTTATTATACAACTCCCATGTGATAAATGTGATGACATTTCCCAAATAATTATCTCAGTATGTTATCCCAAAATTTGCAATAAGTTATTGAAAATTTCTGATCTCTTTACTTTTAAATATATAGTCTAGAAATAAAATTACTCCCACTTTATGATGAAATAATGAAAAATAAAGTAGAACCAATCCTACAACTCCCACACACTAAAAGTAAGGAGTTTTCTGCAACTGGAATAATGTTCCTCTTTCTAGAGAAAAGCTTCTCAGTGAAATTTGACCTGATGGTGGAAAGTGTTGTCAAGTCACAGTTGACTTATGGTGACCCCAAGGGTTTTCAAGGCAAAAGATGCTGAGATTTGCTATTGCCTGCCTCTGTGTAGTGACCCTGGACTTCCTTGGAGGTCCCCCTTCCAAGTCATAACCAGGGCTGACCCTGCTAAGGTTCCAAAATCCAAAGAGATTGGGCTATCCTGGGCTATCCAGGACAGGGCGAAATTCAGCCTACTGCTTGTAGAAATCTCTTTTTATTTATGTATGTTCAGAAATAGCAAGTGTATAACATTGATGATATGTTGATTTTTAACAATTCATTATGATCATGCCTACAAGTCCTGAACTTTCCTTTCTAGGAAATGGGTCCCAGTAGATTTACTGAGACTTACTTCTTGGTAAATATGTTTAAGATCAGACTGTATGTAGCATTTTTTATACATGCAATTAACTGTTTGCTATTCCTCGTTGCAGTATGCTCTCATAATTGGACTTGAGTGGTAAAGGCACAAAGATATGACACTCCTGTGTGAATCAGCATGGTATTACGTGTATCTGAGCCTGACATAACCCAGTCCACTGTGAATACGCACAGAGAGAGAAAGCTGTGCCATGAGATGAGAAAATCAGAGCTACAAGCTTCCTGTGAAAGCTGCAACCAACATTTTTTCATAGCCTAACATATCCCAATAAAAAAAAATCCAAGTAACCGGATTAAAAAAATATTTCAAGAAACTGGGTGCTTTCTAAACATTAAGCAAAATTTAATAGAAGAGAAATTAAGCTGAATAACAATCCTTCAATATTGGCCTCAGAAGCCATGAAAAATTTAGTAGGGAAGCACATGTTTCACAGGCCCATCTGTCAGATTTCAGTCCAATTCTAAATTCATTGAAAGAGGTAAGAAATTCCTTGTCAATACTGACATTTTTCATAGGGCCACTTTACAACTGTGTTCAAGACAGGGAATAATGCAGGTACAGATATTCCGGGAAAAGTGGTGCTTCAGTGTCCCATATTCAATTTGTTCCAGGTAAGCATTTTTTTTAAAAAAATCTTTCCACCTATTGCAAATGCTCATTATAGTCTAACTGAATAACCCCATACAGACTATAGCCCATGGTCCCCCCCATTTAATCTAAAGCAACAACAAAAACCTCTAATATATCTTGCTCTACCTTCCACCGTAAACATTTTAAATTTATGCTTTACATTTCTGTCATTATCAATACACTCAGACTTATCAAAAGTAATAGTAGCTTTTATGTGGCATTAAACACTCTGAAAAGGATAAAACAGTTTCAAAAGCTTAGTAGTTTGCACAGCTTTTAGATTTATTTATATTCATTTGACCTTTGTTTCATTCAAATGGTTTCCACTGTCTTTTCATTAACAACATTATAAGGGTCTTTAGCAATCTAAATATCATATCACAAACACAACCTAGGACCTTGTTTTGGAGGTGGGCTTTCATTTCAGGAAAAACAACCTTTCCTATCATATAAGTGAATTCCATTGATATTGAACAAAGATAAACAATCCTTTAAAAGCCCCATAAGTAAGGGAAAAAATGACAGTATCAGGCTTTCACGGAAAAGTATTGTTTTCTGATTCCTGTGGTGCAGTGAGGAGGTCATCCATACAACTAGCAATAACGCCCTTAGATTTCTATAAAAAATATTAGCAAAATGCCCACAAAACAGAGGGAAACTGCACAGAAATGTGAGCTTTCCTTCCCCTGTTCTCAACTTACTATATATTTCCGATGTGGAAATGGTTACCTGCTTTCTCTCTCAGCCCTCCTGTATTTGTTTCCTGCATTCTCTACCTGCTTATCTCAAACTTGCCTTCCCATCTTCCCATCCAGACGAAGTAGTACAGGAGGGCTCAATGTTCCATTTGTTAAGGAAGCTGACAACAAGGTGAGATATCATTATGTTAAGGACCTGGCCAGCAGAGATTTCTGCTGTTTTGTACCAAACTCTTCTATTTTTCCCTATGGATTGGTACATGGTGCCAATGATGCCAATTCTGAAATGATCATCAGACTAATGAGACACAATCCAGGTCTCCAAGAGTTCAGAGACAGCATGTGAGGATGTGATGGAAACAAGAAGCCTTTCCAGGAACAGTGGGAGAATATTAGTTTGTAATGCCACATTAATTCTAAAAGTCAAATACATGAAAATTTGTTGATGCCAATAAACTAAAAGAAAATGAATTACTGCACAGGTTAATAAGGTCATCCGCTCAGCTAAATTACAAGCAAAATAAAGTTACGCATCTTTAAATCACATTGGCTTCAGCTAAACAGAGTTAAGCACTCTCTATCTAAAATCAATGGTACTAAAAATGGCTTGACTTGAAATGGTTCATAGCCAAGCCCCTTAGACTAAATGAGTTCATTAAAAAAAAAAAACCAGTGATAATATATACAACTATGGGGTGCAGCAATTAATTTTATAACAGCATGATTCTTGAACTTTTTGGAGGAATTGTTATTATGTATAGGTGGATTTTATGCTGTAATCTTTGTAGCTACCTGAAGCACACTCGGGTCAAGCAAGACGATTTATAGTACAAATATGTTTTAATATTAGTCCAGAAATGTTTGCCTATCCCACCACTAATTCTATGCAGTAAAATGTTCCCTAATGACTATGAGACTAAATTCTTTATAGTCCAAACAACTTGTTTACCAATTTTTTTTTTTAAAAAACATCATTGTAAGTCTAGGGCACATTGCAACAATTCTAACTAGCTCTGGTAAATTTACTTTTTACACTTCACATATGCCACATACAAACGGTTAAGCGGAGTCTTAGGCCAATTAAAACTAGCAACTTTATGGTGGCATATGTTTCTGTAGACTAGAGCCCAATTTCTCAAATACATGAAATAGTAAACATATATCTTAATGTATGTTGTAGCTGCCAACCTTCTGGATGGACCTTGAGTATGCCTGGAATTTCAGCTGCTATCTAGACTATGGAGACTAGTTCCCCTGGAGAAAATGGCTGCTTTGGAAGGTGGATTCTATGGCATTATACTTCGTTGAGGTCCCTCCTCACCAAACCCTGTCCTCCCCTGGCTCTACCCCAAAACCTACAGGAATTTCCCAGTCTGGACATGGCAACCCTAGTATATGTATTTGTTACAGATTATATAAAGTCTGCCAACTGAAGATACACTTCCCGTAGTTGGCAAAGCAGCTTTTAGTCCACAAAAGCTTATGTCACAGTAAATTTGTTAGTGCCACAAGATGCCATTGCATTTCTACTTCAACAGAATAATGTAGCTACTCCCACAGAACTAAAAAAATTAACACAATGGGTATCTGTAGGAGGAACTTATTCTTGTACCTTTATGTTTATCTGGAGAAGGAAAAAAAGCGATAAGCAAACCTGTTTAATGCCATTTCCCTCTCCCACACTCCCCCAAACAAAAGAATTTCTTCTCAGTTTACTTACAACAATATGTGCTGGAGATGGAGACCTAGCATCCTTGAGGGCTTGCCTACTCTGTAGGCTCCCTGCCTGAACATCAAGCAGTGGCCATTTCATCTGGAGGTACTGGATGGAGGAAACAAAAATGGGAAAAAAGAAAAATGAGTTCAGAAAACAAAGACAATAAAAAAATCTAAAAATAATAAACAAATATTAGGCAACATGGGGAAAGAGGTGAAACTGAAATGTATGCAACAAAGTGAAAGGGGGGAACCCCAATAAACAAAAGAAACCAAGTAGTACTTATTTTGTGCTAGTGCTTTATAGAAACAGTGTACCAAACATTTCCATAATATTTAGTACAATGGCAAATATTCCATAATATTTAGTACAATGGTCACAACTTTCTACACACTGATAAGGCCTGGAAAAAGACAGAAGTATAAAGTTTTGTTCTTGTTTGTTTTTTTAAGTGCGGATCATCATTCACATCACTGCAAGAATGTAAATACACTTGTTTCTCACTTATACTAAATAATATTACAAAAGAAAACCACTAATCCTGGATAAAACCTGGTTATTTGCCCTACAGACAATAAGGTATAAAAGAAAAACACTTATAACATCTTTTTATAACTGACACAACATCCAGCATGGGTTGTTAGATTTGCCATCACTCCTTACTTAAGAAGCAGTGGTGAGATGTTATTTTAAAATTCAGTTTATAATCCCAACTCAGGGCCATTCCATATATTATACTGCCAGGAGAGTTGCCATACAGTAAAGAGGTAAAGGTTCCCTTGCTCGAAAGCCAGTCGAGTCCGACTCTAGGGTTGGCGTGCTCATCTCCGTTTCAAAGCCGAAGAGCCAGCGCTGTCCGAAGACGTTTCCATGGTCATGTGGCCGGCATGACTAAACACCAAGGCGCACGGAATGCTGTTACCTTCCCACCGAAGTGGTACCTATTTATCTACTTGCAATTTCTTGCTTTCGAACTGCTAGGTTGGCAGGAGCTGGAGCCAGAGACGGGAGCTCACTCCGTCATGCGGCACCCGGGTCTTGAACTGCTGAACTACTGACCTTCCACAGCCTGCAGTTCAGCGTCTTAACCACTTGAGCCACCGCAGCTCCTTGCCATAGAGTATATTCAACCAATTATGAACCCTTCAAAAAGGTTGCTTCACACATTATGTGTTTAGGAGCACATCTAAGATGTTTTACACTTCAAAATATAAAAGCATTAAAATATAAGTATTCGCTTTCTTTACTATATAAAGTTGCTCTATACCAAGGTAGACCATTGCCCATCTAGCTAGCTCCCTATTGCCTACTCTGCCTGGTAGCAGCTCCCCAGGGACTCTTGATCAATCTTTGCCTCCAAGATCTTTTAGTTCAAGACACCTGGGGCTTTCTGCATGTACAGCATATGCTCAAGAGCCAGGATTAACTATAACTGCTTACCAAGCAGTTCCTTGATGGCAAATCCACCTTTATGGCCACAAAATGTATAGAATAGCCTTGTACTTGTCAAATACATGTACTTGGAAACACTTTGTGGTCACATTTATGCTTCTTATAGGAATAAATATACTTTTAAAAATGTAAAGAATCACATGGCTACCCTAACCTATGAAGCACAAGGCATGGGAGTAGCAATTCCAAAGAGCTGCTAGCCTGCAGCCTAATCCACACTCCATTGCTCTGAACTCCCTGAAAGAAAGGCAGCCTGCAAATGTGGAGACATTGACAAAATAAATTACAACAGAAGGCACACATACACCATTGCAACATCTATATCAAGAGCCTCTTCATCAACATCACTACCACCCTCAACATTGGTTAACAATGTGTGCTGCTCTGAAGAGAAAAGCACAGCTATTGTTATGCAGAAAAATGTGTCTCTAGTAAAAGAAGAAAGATTTATGCGATCTGAAGAGAAATGTGTCTCTATGCACTTACACATGAGGCTTATTTAAATCAGTGAAGTCAGTTTAGGTTCACAACCTCTCCCCCCCCCCCAAAGACTGCCTTGCAGATCAAACATGATTGTTTTACTGGCTAAAAAAGATCCACTGTTTCTGTAAGTATAAAGATATAATTTTTAGTCTTGTAAAACCAAGTTGAGTTCTGTTAATATAGCAAAGACATTTCCTCCATGTCCATCAGCACAAGCAATAAAATAGTTGGTTGAGAACATGCAGCCATGTGACTCCCAAGCAACCTCCAAACCTTAAATGACTTTGCATAAATCCCAGGACTGGCCATGAAATTGAGACTCAGTAAACAATCTGGTTCATGATGCACAAACAGGAATGGGGTACAGCTCACTCTCTCTAACAATAGCTGCCGAGGCTTATTCTTGTCACTGAGGTCAGTAGATAGGATTCAGAATTTACACAGGAAGCAGGTCCTGCTGGGAAAGTATGTGCTGAATTTACCTAGTCACTTTTCAGAACAAGTCCCAGTGGATTTTTGCCAGTGACCTTTACTGGGTGAACATTAAAACAAAATCCACATCACTCAATCCTAGTAGTACAGGAGGAAGCTAGGTTGTAATATTCTCTTAGACCTGCTAAATTTGTAACAGAGTGTTGTTTCTAAAGGGGAATAGCCAAGCATTTAAATTTGCAGTCTGACGTTGTAGATCTCCAGAAAGACACCAATCATGTCCTGCTTCTCACCATGTATGTCAGTTTTTATTGGGAGGACAGTTGCTAAAATTCTGTTCCTTAGCATCAGAAGCCATGCAGAATACTTTGTTACTAAATATACTATGCAACAACATGTCATTCAGATTCACTAAATATTATAATTTAAACATAAAAATACTTCACACCACCACAAAATAAAATATATATTTATTGGATAACTAAGTATACATTAGTGCAAAAAAGCCCGCAGAGAAATTATGTTCTTGAAATTATCTAATTAGATGGAAACACAGAAAGCAAAAGTTATCCTTGCAGTCATCCTTGCATTCTGTTCTGCCCATTCACAGTGTGATGTTAAAATACACACTGATATGTGGTTAGCTGGATAGAAGTAATGGAGCGAACAAAATTAAAAACTGAATTACTGCACAGATCCATTCTATTCCAATATCCTAACAGAATCCCCCACCCCAAATGTAATGTCAAAATGTGTCTCTCTTTCCTCTCATTCTCAATTTTCCTACAGCAGACAAGGCCAAGTACAATTGAGAATGATAAATACCCCTATCAAAAATTAATGATATCTATTTTGATATTTTTTACAAACTGTATGTGTAGCAACATATGTGTTAGGTATGGAGAAGAGGAATAAACAGGCATCAAGAACCTGCTTCAGGTCTAGTCAATGGGGCTTATTCCCAGGAAAATACTATTAGAGCCATCACGAATTTTCCATATAAAGTTAAATATATAAGATGTTTACAAATGTATCATTTCCTAGTAAAAAGCAGAATTGAGTGCAAAACTTTCCAAACTAACTTTTCAGTGGAAAAAAAGTTTTTGAGGAGCCCAATCTTTTTTCTTTTTTTTTAAAGATCTCTGAAATCATCACAACCAGTCATCTGATTTGGCTACATTATGGTATCACTAAGGGTTAATGAAGTGAGGTCAGACTGAATCCAATGTTTGCAGTCTGAAGTTCTCTTTCAGTGATGTCATCAAGAACCAAACTGACGGACTGCACCACAACATATTTCTTAGACCGACTATTTTAAACGAGGTGCTTGAGCTACAGCCAACTGGATCTGCAAAGATGCTCACCATGTACGGGCAGTACATGAAGATGAGGAAGTTAAGCCATCATGAATGTGTGTGTGGGAGGGGGATACAAATCTCTCCTTCCCCCCCCCCAAAAAAAATCACTGGAAAAAGGGATTCCCAAAAGATCTCTGAAGAGGGAGGTGTAATTCACAAGAGAAGGATATGTTCCAGAAATTCCCCCCTCCCCAGTTTCAGTTCAGACCCAGTAAAAAGACTGAGTTCCATAGATAAAGAAGAAAACATTTGCTTTGTTCAGCAGCTTCGCGCTTGCCTCATAGTCTCTCAGCCCAAGAATTGTCATGGCCATAACACAATATTAATGTGGTGGCTTATAATTCTTATTTTACATAAAAGCTTCATTGTGTGCCAAATCCAATCTCCACAGGCTACCTGAGCCCCAGATTTTTACAAGTCTACATTTCAGCACTGCAAGTCTACAATACACATAATTTTCAATTATGTTAGGGCAGGCCAGGATCACTGCCTATATAACATTACTGGTTGGAGGAAATGAGACTCAGTCCTACTGCCGAGCAAGCTAAGTGAATCCAGATGGTGTGAGAGTGGGAAAGAGAAAGCAGTCCTATGGAATTATGTTGCAGCAATCCACCCCTCGACAACTCCCGCACAATGGAATGAACTGCCAAGTAATTGCCCCACCATCCATGCACAATACTTTAGGTATTAGCTGGAAACTAAAGAAGGGAGGATTCTTTTTGGCAAAAGAAGGGTTACATCACAGCTCTTACACTGCACTTATTAGGAAGGGAATGTGTAATTGCCTTCTCAGGTTTTCTACTGCAGCAGTATGCAGTTATTCAAAAGGGCTTTTTAAAAAATTGTCCTATTACTGGAGAATGGTAAATCCTTTCCTTCCTACTACATGAAATAGCAGGAAATTCTATGCTTTCAATCCCAAATACAAATGTAAACTGGGAGTTTCTCCAACTTGCAAAGTGGCTACAAAGGGGGGAGGGGGGGTCACATCTCATTTTTCTCCCAGGATTCCAGTTCTGGTCTTGCATTCTTGAGTAAGAAGGGATTTCAATAATCTGTGCTAACAATTAAAATCCTCCCACAATTCTCACTCTCCTCCCATCCTACCTCTGAGATTCCCAACATCCAAGTACTAAACGTGAAATTTAACTCAGATAACTTGATAAGAACAGAGGAATAAAATCTGGAATAGGTTCTAATGCTATGTATAATACTTAAAACAATAATACTGCAATCTTGGCAGGCACGTCTTGTTGCTTTAACATTGAATGATCTGATCATAGGTCATTACTGATTCCTTAGAAATAAAAATAAAAGTCTTATAGAATACAGCAAACTTTAAGCTCCAGGCTTCTGAACAAAATTTTAGAATACAAG